AAGCGGTTACTACAGAACTCGGGTGGAGAAATAAGAAAATCACAACACAACCATATTTTTGATAGGAATCTTTTAAAGGGCAGCGCAATGGATTGGGGGTTATCACTGTTGTCTCACAACAAGAGGGTTCAATTCCTGGTTTGGACCTGGGGGTCTTTCTGTGTGGAGTTTGCCTGTTCTCGTCATGTTTGCATGGGATTTTTCCAGGTACTACATGCATGTTAGGCTGCCTTCAGGCTCAGGCCTGCCCTGCGAAAGAGATCTGTGATCCTTTCCACTGCTGCCATTGTGCTTGCAGGATGGGAGACTGCGACGAAGTGAAGATTCAACAAGTCTGTTTGCTTCATTAGATAGAGAACTTTACTACCGGGTAATTGCCTTTTTTATGTATGTGAATGTTTCAGTACAGTGTTCAGACAACTTTGTTGTGAATTGGCACTATATATCCATCCATCCATCCATCCATTATCTTTACCCGCTTATTCCATTTTGGGTCACGGGGGTCGCTGGTGCCCATGTCCAGCAATCACTGTGCGAGGGGCGGGGTACACCCTGGACGGGTCGCAAGTCCATCACAGGGCCTGGCACTATATAAATAAACTGAATTGAATTGATCTCAGTGGGATCTGCCTGGTTAAATGACGTGTAAGAAAAATACATAATACACCTAGATGCAGCCACACACCAAAACTAAAATCAGTACCTCACTTTCTTACGTTATAAAACTCATGACATGGGCACCAGTGACCCCTGTGACCCAGAAAGGAAAAAGCAGGTAAAAAAAAAATGGATGAATGAATGGATGGATGGATGGATGGATGGATGATGAATGGATGCTCACAAGACAAACTGACAGATGGACAGAGGGTATTTCCAATACCCCTCTTCCCTCCATGACGGGGACACAAAGGAGTTATATATTCTGGAGTATCTGACAGATTCACAGTCCAGCCCAAGTCCCAAAGCAGCGTTAAATCCATTATTGCCATAATCGTATTTTAGAGTTACCTTTGACAGATAAAAGAAAGGCCCGCTCTGGTGTTCAAACAGAATCTGTCCACAGTGAAACATGAGCAGCCCAAAGTCAAACAGAGGACCAGGAGCCTCCTTCCCCTCCACCTGAACAGAGACCACAGGAAAACATATTTTGACCAATTCAATCCATCAGTTTTAGCTCAATGTTAAAAACTTTTTAGAACAATTATTACTCATCTCCTGCCACTAAAGACAAATAATATCAGAAACATTACCAAATTAGTCTGACTTCCAGCTAAATTTTATATACTCTATATCTTTTTAATATTTTGTGTCCAAATTTGGATATTTAGAGACGTTAAGAAATACTTTAAAGCAAAATCGCCTCCTATGTTGTGGTTGTTGTGATGTTTTTGTTATGGGGCTTTATTTTCCAGCTCCTGTTGAGATTTATCAGGAGCACTCTGTTCTATAACCATGTTTTCCATCACAGAACTGATCTAAAGAGAAGAGGAGGAAACTTCACGTTACCATCATGTTGTGCTCCACCATGTTCCAGGCACGGGGACGCAGCATGAGCACTGGAGCCTGAGAAATGTAAGAAACACCTGCCCCCACATGAAAGAAAGCAACAAAGACACAAGGCTGGTGAGACAACCTGACCCACCAGCACCAGCCTGAAGATGGGCGTTAAAGTCCAAACCCACCTGGGAGCCGGCTTGTCACCGCCTGAATGACATTGTGAATCCCTTTGACTTGGTTGTAGAAGGATGGGCAGTTCCCATCGTCAAAGTCAACCTGAGGAAACCAAACAGAAGCTTTTAATGGACCCTGAGCCAGCAAGCACAGCCGTGGTCAAAAAGACACAACCCAACCTGAGGCAGCTTGAACTGAAAACAACAACTGAAGGTCACTCATCCATTCATTCATCTGTCCATCCATCCATCCATCCATCCTTTGTCCATCCATCCATCCATCCATCCATCCATCCTTTGTCCATCCATCCATCCATCCATCCTTTGTCCATCCATCCATCCATCAATCCATCCATTCATCCATCCATCCATCCATCCATCTGTCCATTAATC